TGTTTAAATGAGTGATAAGTCAAGTTTGATAAAGTAGTAAGTATAATCTTATTGAGTAGTAAGTGTAGCTTAAATGAGTAGTAAATCAAGTCTGATAAAGTAGTAAGGATAGTCTCATTGAGTAGTAAGTGTAATTCAAGTGAGTGGTAAGTCAAGTCTGATAAAGTAGTAAGTATGGTTTAAATGAGTTGTAAGCCAAATATTGAGTAGTAGGTATGGTTTAAATAAGTGGTAAGTCAAGTCTGATAAAATAGTAAGTACAGTCTCATTGACTAGTAAGTGTGGTTTAAATGGCTGATAAGTCAAGTTTGATAAAGTAGTAAGTAGAGTCTCATTGAGTAGTAAGTGTAATTCTGATAGAGTAGTAAGTGTGGTTTAAATGAGTTAAATCTGATAAAATAATAAGTAAAGTCTTATTAAGTAGTAAGTGTTGTTTAAATGACTGATAAGTCAAGTTTGATAAAGTAGTAAGTAGAGTCTCATTGAATAGTAAATGTGATTCAAATGAGCGGTAAGTGAGATAATAACAGCACTATCATATTCATTAACATATTAAACATATTAAACAAAAGTAAAGTGAGATAATAACAAATCAATACCCTTTCACATGATTCAATTTTTCTCGTGTACTGTTTTGTTCCAAAATAGGACTTGAGCATGTTTGGCTTATGAACCTTGTGTTGCAAAATATGTTGCTACAACTCATAAAAATTAGTATAAATATCAATAACACAAACTACGTAGTCAAATGCTTTTAATTGTAAAATGCATAAGTAAATTACCGAAAAATATGTAGGTAGATACCACGCTGGATATTTCGCATCTGGGATACGATCCTTTTTCTTTAATGTAAATTGCAAAGCAACTAAAGTAATTACCTAAGAAACAAAAACTCATCAATAAATGCAATTATCTTGTACATTATAAATTCATTTGAGCAATGGTTTACTACTTACTTGTCCATCAAGCCAACAACCACGATCTAATGTCCATATGTTTTTGCGCGTTCCATCATTCTTCAAAGCTTGAGAAGGAGATAGAAGAGATGAAAAGGAATTCCGGAAAATCAGATGAAATGGAAAGCAAGAAAATATCGGAAAGAAGGCGTAGTGGGGTGGTCCGGCGTACGAAACAAGATGCCACAGATTTGCCGAGCCTAGATAAGTTTCTGGTGAGACATGTTTCGAAACTTGAAAGAGAGGTCCAAAAACAAATAGTCTCTTATCAATTTATCCTCAACTGAAAGCGGTGGCAAATCAAATCCTTTCATGGGAGTTGGCATACTCAACAACTCAGAAATCTGTTTTTAACCAATCATTAATAACATTTTCATAAAGTATGTAATTGAATATTCTCCTAAAAATGAGTTTCTATAAGAAAACATAAGTATACCTTTCTCGAATGTTGTTCAGGAAACACAACAACTTGTTTATTTTTCATTGTAGCTTTCTGTATAACATAAATCAGTCGGTGACTAAGTTCATTTGTAATGAATCATTTTTAAAAAAATTGTTATGTGTACAAATATTATTTATTACCTCTTGTGCATATTTAGGCAACATGTCAAGTTGTTTGCTTGTTATATTATATTTTTACATAACACAAATAAATCAATAACTACTTTCAATTCTAACAACAAAACAAAACAAATAGTAATAATAATAATAATAATAATATTAATAATAATAATAATAATAATGTATCTTACCTTGCCAAGTTCAACATCATAGGGTGAAAGTATATGTTTGCTTTTTTTTCGTTTGCTTTCCCTCCTAAGCTTCATATGATAAGGCAAAACTGTTGAAGACTCGGCACCATCATCTACCGGAATTGACCTTTTTAAAATCACTTTTGGTAACTTTGGTGGTAGTAGCTCATGTTCACTAAAAAATGGGGCAAATGGAGATACGGACGATGTGAACTGATCACCTAATGAAATCTTAGGCAATCCCTCATTTTCTTGTTTTGGTTGTTTATCTATAGGAGACGTACGATCTTGGAAAGCATAAGGTGGGGGACTCCATTTGTCATCCAAGATATCTTCATTTTTCAATTGACAATCGATATCATGAGAGTGTTTCTCCTTCTCAATAGCCCATGACCCATTAGCTACCTTTGCAATTGCTATCAAAATCTCTTCTTTGGCAGATTCTATTGATTGACTGACACCAACGACTAAGTTATTTAAGTCTCCTCTCAAATCTTTCACTTCTTTTTCAACATTACTTAGCCGTGCATTTATGTTTGGCTCTACACTCACATCATTATCTTCAACAATAAAACCAACCTATTAAGAAAATAATAACAAACATGTTAAACGAATTCTTTAATTACAACACGCATACAAATTAAATTATATAACACATGAGATTACCTTCTTGTTGTTTTGGTATTGAAGTTTTTCTAACATGGAGATTCTCTTTTTAATCACCTCATCTGTCTAATATACTAAACGAGGTGCTTGTCTACTTGCACATGGACTAACAAAATCCACAGTAGGTGTCATATGCTCAATGTAGAATAACTACATGATATGGTTATGTAATGATTAGTAAGTTCAAGAATGCACTAAATAGACAATCATTTGTTTACCATGATTTAGAAACATACCATCAGAAAAAACAAGCAACCTCGAATTCCTCGTTGTCCCTTTCCTTCTCCTTTGTCCTTGTACTTTCGCACACCATCGACTAAAAAGTCTAAGACGAGTTTTGACCAATTTAACTTATGTAAAGAAGACATATCTTTCAAGGAATGGAGAAAGCAACGATTTATTGACAATTCTGATGTAGGGCACAAAAGAGAACCTAGAATGTACAATACAAATCCTCCCTTAAAATCATCCCCGTCTACTTTCATATTAGACAACTCATTCCTTAAAGACCTCAATAAAATAGAACCACACTTCTTAACACCATACTTGTTCGACAACTCTTCAATATCAGTATGGTCCCCATTTACGTTTATAATTGATCCCTCACAAGGAAGTCCTAATATGTGGCTTACATCAAATGGTGTTATAATTATTTTTTTACCATGAACGAATAAACACCGAGATGTATGATCAAAACAACCAACCAACCATTCACAGAGTTGTCGTGGCAATCTCGTGCATTTAAGCTCTAATAAACCTCCAAAGCCAATTGATTTGATAGCTTCTTTTTGTAATGGTTGAAGCAATTGTATTAACTCACAAACTGAGTTCAATGCTGTCTGAGTTGTCATGGTTAGTTAAACACAATAACAACAAATACATTAGACTAAATTTAAATTACAAAACATACTATGAAAATTTAATCCTATATTAAAACACTACAATTAAAACATATTATTAATATCATTAATTTTTTATAGTGTTCTTTTATTGTATTCTATAAATATTGTGTATATATAGATATATATTCTTTTAAGATTACTCACCCAAGTCCCAGTTATTCACTAATAGGACAATTAATCAAGCCTACATATCTCTCCATTCTATAAACAAAAACAATAACAGAAATGGGGCCATCATGGGCTATCTTGCTTTAAAAAAAAAAAAAAAAAAAAAAATAGAAACAAACAAAAAAATCACAAATAGATCACATGAACTATATTGCTTTTAAAAAAAAAATGTAAAAAAGGCATTATGGTCCATTACACAATCTCCAAAGCAAACCGGATAATAGACTATATGACTATCATGGACTATCTTACTCAAAAAAATAATAGAAATGGAAGACTTAAAAAAAAAAAAAAAAAACCCAAAGGGCCAGCCAAAAACTTTCTACTTTTAAAAATATAAACAACAAAGCATGAGATAAACAAAAAACTCAACCATTTATTGTCTAGCAAAAGTGTCAAAGTCCCCTACCCACCAAATGGGAGCAATTTGTCACCATTCATGTCCCTCCAGTTCCAAAACAAACAAAGTGTATAAATGATAAAGAAAAAAAAAGAAAAAGAAACAAAAAACATAAAAATTTACAAATGGGACCACCATTACTTTAAAAAAATAAGTAACAATCCATATGAGGCAACACAAAATTCATACCCACAAACAAACAAACAAACAAATAAACTCAAAACATATGAGAACAAACCATATACCTAGGTAATTCTAGTAACGATTTGGGGATTAAGAGAAAAATATAAACATCATTTTCTTAAAAAGTGTAAGCAAACGAATTAGGTGCAGTGACTTTCCATATCTATAGTCCATTCGATTTTAGGCTATTGAGGAAAAACCATCTGCATCTATCCATTTAAAAACCATTAAATCATTTATTTTGTGACAGATTAATTGGTCATTCGATTTTTGATAGATCTTGTGGATATTGTCCCACCTAACTAAGAGGATTTTCAACCTTTCCTCCAATAGTGATTTTTGTTAAATCTTCATTTAATTAATCAGCAGGTTGCCTCTGAAAATGAAAATTACAAATGTCATAATATTGATTTTTATTAATTAAAATAGTAACACTTAAATATTTTTAGTTTGTTTTAATAATATTATATGATATAATATTCACTTCTATATATATTTTGAACATTCTTTCAAAAATTACCAAATAACTTTCAAATAGAGAGGTCATGATAGGATTTCAAAATAAATCAAAGATCTAAATTATTATTTATGATTTTTATAGAAATTATAAAATCAAATCAAACCTGAAGCATAAAACATTGCTATGCGACGGAAAGTAAACGTACCATTGCATAATGCGTCTTTTGGTAGAATTGGTTACCACTCAAACCCTACCATTATCTTCTTTTATATATGGATATATCCATATTATATTTAGATTTTTACTATTGCAAAAGCTTGTTTTTGCCACGGTTTTAAAGTCGTCGCAAAAACTACAATGTCATCAAAGCCCTTTCTAGTAGTGATGGGACAATTTGTCACCAATTTCAGTCCATTCCATTTCCAAAACAATTAGGTGCATAAATATAAAGAACAAAAAAAAAAGAAAGAAAGAACATAAAAAATACATATGGACTCATGAACCATCTTTACTTTAAAAACCATAAGTAACACAAAATATGAGACACACAAAATTCATACCCATAACCACAAACTGCAAAAGCATATGAGACAACCATAATACCAATATTCTAGAAAGATTGGGGATTGAGGAAAAAAAACGCCACCTCCAACCACATACTAAAAATTCAAAAAAAATACCAACAAAAATAATTTTTTAAAAATGCATGAATAATATATGATTTTTTTACTCTATCATCCTACTTCGCCATCTACTTTTGTCATCATTTTCACTAAAAAAAAAAATCAGGAAAAAAAAAGGTTTATAAAAAGCAGAGAACCAAAAAAAAATAAATCCAAATTACCCACTATTTTGGTCTTTGATTTGAAACAAAAAAATCAGAAATGAAAAAAAAAAAATGTTTTCGAAGTAGAGAGAACCAAAAAAATAAAGCCAACTCACCCACTTTTGTCTTTGAATTTTTAAGACCAAAAAAAAAACAGGACTACTTCCAGATGATTTTGAACCAAAAAAAACAAAAAAAAAAAAAACAAAAAAGGAAGACTTGGTTGAAATAATACAGTTGCAAATATTCACTCCAAAACATGAACAAGTCGGAGAAGCCATTGACAAAAGAAAAACCAGTTTAAAGGTTCAA